ACGTAGAAAGTATCTTGAGAATAAAAAAAAGTGTTTCATAATGATGAGAGTGGAAGTTCAGATAATATCAGACATAGATATACGAGAAATTCTTCTATTTTCTTGCGTCACCAAGAAGAAATACAGCAAAAAAATCGTTCATAAAAGAAGTAGAACGCTGTATTTTTTGCTGTATATGATCGCCCACACACACTGCATTTTCCAGTGCGACATATCTTTGCGGCAAAAAACGTTTTAGCGTTCCACAAAAGTCAACGAGAGATCGTGGACGAGTTGGCTCGCGTGCGAGATCAATCACCAGATATAAGGATGGTTTCCTACCTACACGTTCGATTTTTTTATCAAATAAATTTGTTGGACAAAAATTATTTCTCTTTGAAAAAATACTGATTTCATAAAACTAAGGATATATTTTTGTATTATATCTTTCATGTATTCTTTTAATAATAGCTTATTGTAGAAAATTATTTCTCAAATTTATCTTTTAACATTTAGCATGATTAAAAGATAAATTTGTAAAAAAATCTATTATTTTAATTATATTTTATAAGTTTCAGTCAAATTTCCATTTAAATATCAATCGAATTTTAAAGAGTCCTAATAATGCAGAATAAATATATTTAAATATACATTACTATTAGCAATAATAAAATGACATATTGAGAAATAACAATAAAATAATTTATATTGAAGCATATAATTAATTATATAATAATTTATATTGAAGTATATAATATAAAAGAGGATGATTTAAAATGTTTTAACAGGTCATAAATATAAGTGTATCGATTCTTATGCTTCTTTACTAGCACTGCGTGATTAAATACAATAGATCTCGAGTAATTTACAATTTTTGTAGAATTATCCTTCTTATCGAATTAAGATGTTTTTTCGCGTCGACGTGACGCATTCCTTCAAAATGTGCATGCAAGAATCGTAAAACATGTTTTATATTCTTATTAGTAATATTACATAAAGAGATTTAAAAGAGGTGAAAAGTTTAAGCATTATAATTAGTTTGTAATATAAATTCGAAATTCTTATATATTCTATTATTTTATTGTGATTTTATTGTGATATTATTTTATTGACATCTTATGATTTCTTTTTTCTAAAGATTCCTTGTTTCTAAAGATATTTTTCAAAATATCATAAATCAATAAAAATTTAAAAATCAATATGTGCGTGCTTTTCAAAAGATTTCCAGAATTTATTTTAGAGAAAAAAAAAAATTAAAGTATGTTCATAATATAATATGGCATTAGTTAGCGAGAAAGCTTACAACACCGTCACGCTATTGCCGTCTTGTGAGTCACTGGAACGGTCAGTAATAATATCACACAAAATTCCAATGCAAAGTATCTTACAGAAAGAATTTAATCTCCATACAATTACAAGAGTAATAATCGTTCGATGAGCGAACAATGCGAGATGCGACATCAATATCAAAACATTAAAGAACTGATCATCGCTGATATCCTAATTGATCAACGCACGATATAATGTGCACGTAGATATAATGTGCGGATTTAATAAATAATGAATGAGGTGCAACGTACGCCTTATAGGCGGATCTAGCGCGGCTTTATTCATTATTCATTAACATCTAATTTTGAAAATTAAAGGAAGGAAACCTTAGAGCTCATTATTTATATGGTAGTTAAATTAAATTTCACAAATCTTATTGCAATCATAGAGTTAATTTAACATGCGATAAATATAAATGAGTTTAAATAATGAAATTTAATAGTCTAAGAAAGCTAACGTTTTGCAAAAAATCAATCTTTAAAGATCAATGTTTAAAATATTTTGATTTCTCTTTGAATTTTTTGTATTTTTTGCGAAACATTTTAATAAACCATTTGAAAACTTTCAAATATCTAAAATATATTAATAAATATATTAATTATATAACTGATTATAATTAATAAATGCTATTCAAAGTAATCTTCATTTCACATAATCTTTGCACAAAGCTTATCAAAGTGGCTCAGCTTATGCAAATTTCAAAAAAATCGCGCAAATATTTACTCGATTATCTCAAAAGCAAGATAACCGAAGCATCAACCGAGTTCATTTCATAATATCTTGAAGAAACCGTCGTAACAATACTTTTTTCGGTTAAAACATCGAAACTTAGAATGGCAGTCATTATGGCAGCAAAAAAGGATTGACAAAAGTTTTTGGGATTTTCAATTTATTATCCCGTTGAGCTAGTCCACGGTGGCTTGTCGATGTAAATTTCAGCACGATCGATAGACACACCTCGGCTTCTTCGACCGAAGGTAGAGAGGTTTATAACTAACTGGGGTGAAGGAACTCTTGAATCTTGCGCGAAACTATAGATAAGACAGAGAACTTCTTCGGCATGTTCGTATCTTGGTTGGCGAAGCGAAAACTTTCTGCGAAAATACATACGGTTTTTTGCGGGCATCGCTCGCGCGAATCCTACAATAATAAAATCGCGTCATATCAGTTTTTCAATTGTAAACGATTGTCAAGTTGTTCCGAAAGAAGTTTTCTCGAAATCGTCTTTCTCGAAATTTTTCTGAAAGAATTGACACACATTATTCACTCTTTCAATATATCTTCGATATATTCACATTTTTCAAAATAATCTAACTTTTTCAAGTCAGTTTAAAATATTCTTTGCGTTATTTATAAAAATAAAGTATATTTATAAAATTATTTATTATTAAAATTCTTTGTATTAAAATTCTTTCCATTTATTATTAAAATTCTATTATTAAATATTCTTTGCGTTATTTATAAAAATAAAAATAAGTTTGCGTTATTTATAAAAAAGTGAAATTTGCACTATTTATACAATGAAGTGAAAATATGATATAAATCTAAATTGCCTGGAGAAAGTTTTAAAAGAAAAATGGAGGAATTCTTCCTTTGTTATTCAAGCAAATAAATTATACTATTTTATTCGTTGCAGCGCTATATGTTGAAAAATTATTATATTTAAATAGCGACTACAAGTAACGCAAAAGTGCGTCTCAAACACTCTCATGCACAGGGAAAACAGTCTATATAATTATCAACTTTTTTTATATTTTTAATATATTGCGGAAATACTTGGGATTTTATTTCATATCCTCATCTTTCTCTATTAAGAAAAAGAATTAGTAACGATAATAACGTGCAAATATCTACCACGCGAGATAAATTACATGATTACGCGCAATGAATTAACGGGCTAATTGCCAAAATTAATTATCTCAAGAATCTTAGAGTATCGTCTACATCACGCAAACATAATTAAGTTTGTGAATCCGCGTCTTGAAAAGTACATACAAGAAAGTACTACAAAATTCGGATCAAACTTGGAAGCAGAATGATGAATAAATAACTGCGCAGTAACGCAATGGCTCCGCGATTTGCTTTAAGATATCTCGCGAAATTGTAATATTACACGAATAAATTTACCATGTACGTTCGTCAGAGATTCGATATACAATCGCTGTAATAGGGTATACAGATTTGGTCAAAATACACGAAATATTTTTAGCACTACACTGAATTAAACTACTCGGTTCTATGATATTAAAGTACGTAAGTAATACATTTTTATATAGAAATTTTCATAGCAAATTGTGTGTGAATTCAGTCCAAAAATAAGATGATTCCATATTCTATACTTGTGAACATCATTCTAGATTTACTTATTTAATATAGATAAACTATAGACTTATCTTACTTTTACATTAAACTTTTTTTACAAAAAGATATTAAAATAATAATAAAATAAACAAATTAAACAAATATTAAAATAATAAAATATTATAGATTATGATGACTTTTTTCTAATTTTTATCATAATGTTTTATTCGCGTGCTAAACACAATCGGATTTATAACAATTTAATACAAGTATTACATTTGCTTTTGACCAATGCTGTATGCAATATTGCAAACGAGTAATTGTAAGAGTCCAGGTTTTTAGAGTATTATTATAGTGCGATAAAATATGCGACTAATCATTTCATGTCGTACAACTGCTCCTTAGAACAATCTCAAATTTATATCAAAATGAATTTCGTTTCAACAATAGCAAAGCGAGTAAAAAATGAACATGATTTGAAGGCTGTGAACATGATAATAATCCCGCTTATCCTAATTATATATATCTAATTCTATACTTTCTTTTTAAATCAAGATTTATAATTTATATTCAAAAAATCGAAATTTAAAAATATAATTTATATATTTATTTTAAAAGAAAACTCCTCTCAAAAGTTTCAAAAATTACAAGGAAATCAAGTAAAATCGATATATCACATTATAAAGTGGTTGCATGTCAGAGTTAGAGAGCTTCGAGAGAGATTTCGACGTTCATCACTATTCTTTTCGGCGCAATCGTGTCATGAAAGTAGTTTATTTAATTGAGAGTGATGTTTTGTTGTCGTGCCCTGCCGAAATTTCATCTTCTGATCTATCACGACTATCCGCGAAATACCTGATGTATCAGACATTACATTCGGAGCAAATAGCTTTAATTCATTATCTACCGCATGGGCGATAACGATATGATTAATAGAATCATGCGTGCGAGCTTTAATCAGCATATCACGCGATTTGTAAGAAAAATTTATAAATTCAATAAGCACGAATCCTTTTTTTATCGAAGTACAGATCTTTAACGCTATATTTCTGTGTGACGATATATAATTATTATATAATAAATTAACATCATTAATCAACACATTAGATTTATATTTTTTTTCACCTACACATTATTTTTGACAGTGATAATATATAATTACAGTTTAATAGTATAAATCAATGCTATAAAGATAGAAAGAAGAAAAATAAACAAATATAGAACAAATGTTAAAAAGAGAGAAAGAACATATAGATTTGTAATAAACCATGATACGTCACACAATACATAATTAAAAAATATTTATAAACATATTCATGATATTATATATAATATAATAAAGTAAAATCAAATATTAATATAGTAAAATAAAATAAAATTTTGAGACTCACGTTGGCTCTCCATTCTGCTCGATGTGGACGATGTTGCCGCTAAGCGTCTCGATCTCTTGCGGACGCTTCACCATGTGCACACCCGTTTTCTCCCTCGGTGAGGACACCCCTTTGACCGTGTTCACACTTACTCCTGTATCCGTCGACCGTACGCTCTCGATGGAACCCGTGGATGCACCGGTAGATGACTTCAGGGACGCGTCGCTACCACGATTCTCATTCCTCGTTCGTACCACAACACCACTGTTTACACTCGCGTTCACTGCACCGATCGCGGAATTCACGTTGTTGTTGTAACTCGTCGTTTTGCTATTCATCGCTGTCGTGTTGTTTACCGTCGTCGCGTTATTCATCGCCGTTTCCGCTTTTTCGACTGTCCTAGCAATTTTTGAATCGTTCTCCATTACGTTTGGCATCTTATCGTTCACTGAAATCTCACCAGTGGCTGCTGCTACCTTACTACTCGTGGTGCTGCTCTTCACCTCTATCGTTTCCGATTCTCCCAGAGTCTTTCCATCGCTTTGTTTAGATGCACGAGTATTCTGATTTTTACCAGAATGCTGGTTGGCAGAAGATTGATTCGAACGCTGATGAGTCGAGTTTAAACGCTGATCTTCACCGTTTACCTTGGTGACAACCTTCGTAGATTGGCCAATGCTACCGCTCTTAATATGTCCTATGGTGTTACTCTCCGCACCGATGGAAGAATCCTTATTATCATTCCCAGGATTATTACTCGCTTGATTCGTTTTGCTTGGTTGATTTTCGACGGGTCTCTGATGCATCGATGCTGTATTTTGCATCGAAACCGGCACTGGTGATTCTCCCTTGAATGTAGGAGAGACAGATTTGGACGTTCCTTCGGATCGTTCCTTCTGCTGATTTGGCTCGACGAGAAGCGTGTTCGCATCGATATGTAACGGCTGCACTGCCGTGGTCGTGGTAGTATTCACTAAACGTTCAGACGTGCCAGTTGTTTGCGAGGTTTGCTTCAGCAGATTTATGAGATCCATTTCGTCCATATTGCCCGAAGAGTTCCCTTCAAGAGTTCCCTTGCTTTCTTTTGGATTCAGTTCGGACGATTGATCATTCTGAAGAGATTGGTTAGCTGTCTGCTTGTCATTTCTACCTTCTTTCACAATTTTGCCCGTCTTCACAAATCTTTCCGAGCTTTGTTCGGGCATTGAGATAAACCTGCTGGTACTCGATGAACCATTCGTCTTCAGGGGAATTTTTGATGGCGAAAGAACACGTTCTTTGCTAGAATTTCTATTCTGATTGTCTCTTCGAGTAGTAGTAACATTGTTTTTCCGCGGTGAAATTCTCGATGTCTTTGTAGGAGATTGCCTCAAAGAATTCCTGTTTTTTATATTTGATTGAGAGCTCGCCTTTTCCGGTTTTGTCGGGGTGCCTTGGATTGGCGAGAGTCGCGTCGATGCTTTTGTCGTCGCTTGCCGACGCATCGTCGTCGAGTTGTTACTGAGATTACTGGTGGAATTGGAGATAAAACGGATCTTGGACTCAACAAGATTCGTACGACTCTTCGAATCGGATTTATTCAGGCGCGTCCTAGAGTCGTTTAGCTGTGTTTTCGAGCTGGCCGCATTTAATCGACCTTGAGAATTTGAGACGTTCAATCGCGTCTTTGAATCAACTCGGCGACCGATCTTGGGCGATGGCGAACGTTCGTTGGCTTTCGTCAAGGAAGTGGATCGTTGACGATAAGTAGGTTGTGGAATCAAGCTTCTTCTAGGACTGTTTTGTTGCGATAGCGAAGCTGCAAAAGATAAATGTAATTTGACAATAACAAGAGACAATAACAATTAGATCACTAATTCTAAATAAAGTATATGAAATTTGTCAAAGTAATTCTCATTATTAAATTTTAATTTTGAACATTAAAAAAATATATATTGATAATAGTTTTTAAATACTTATATTTTTCTCTCTCTTTCTAACAACGTAAAATTTTGAAAAAATATCTACACATACGATTTGAAAAATTATATTGTCTCACAACAGCTTTATAATATTTTTTTAGATGTTTCTGCTATCAAAAATATATCATCAATATAGTTTAAACACTTTTACATTTTAAGTTAAATATTTACAAAATATTTACAAAATTGTTAAAATTATTATATAAGAATTTTACTTGACAAATTATTCAACCTTTTTGATCGATTCTACGTCGACGTCCGTCTGCGGCAATTTCCGGCGATTGCGGTCTTGACATTGAATGAGGAGGTGGTCCCTTGAAACCACGTCCACGGAAGGGCGAGACTCTTCCCGTGAGCAAATTGGGCGATGCATTGTCGGGGTCCGGGCTCGCTGGTCTGGATTCGGCAAGTATCACGAAACTGGAACGACGATGTGCCCTCCCGGAGGACGTCGACGACGGAGCGATCTTGTAGGGCTCAGGCGCACGCGGCGGTGGCGGTGCTGGGATAATCGTCGGCGATAGATAAGCGGTGTCGGGGACAGCCAACACCCGGAAGGACGGCGGGCCCTGCCGCGCGACGTGGCCGTCATGATCGATCCGCCTCATTCTTACGAGGCCCTATCTTATTATTTAAAAATCATGACATAAATGCAATTGAGCTATCAAGATTAGTTGTACTAATTAATAAAACTTAAATTATGTAAAGAAATAGAATAAAGTAAGAAATCTGTAATCTAAAATTGAGATAATAATTTAAAAAAGGGGAAAAATCCTGTTTTTTTATTCTTTCGCACAAAAATAATTGTAACTCATTGTCAAATATGTCTACTATATAATTTGTTATGGATTCGATTTTGACAGCTAGATTTCTATATTTAATACTAAAAATTAATTTAGAGAATTTCGATAATTTTCCTAAAGATATGTTATTTATTTCTTGTGAGTGTATTATTTCTAAACAACAATTTTATGTCTTGATTGATGTCTATTTTTTTCTTTTCTAATTCTTTTCTAATTTGTTCTTATTTAAATCTAAAATTTGTACCTGGTGCCCTTCATGCAGATCGCCCAAGTGAGGTGGACGTCAAGATCTGCCTTTACTCTCACCTGCAAAAAGTAGAAATCTTTACTGAGAGAGATCTTTATGGAGAGAGTGCATAACCATTTTGAAGGTAAATGGAGAAATTTTTATTTCGATGATAGTTGAGATAATGCGAGATTGCGGTTTTGCACAATGGTGCATGCAGATGGAAAATGTAATTGCAGAAATAGAAAGAGTGGCCCATTTAACCATTTTAATCGATAGTTTGCATATGGGTAAAGACAGCTGCGTAAAAATTTAAACCACAGATTTCACATTTTCTCTGTGAATTTATTCTGCTCATCGAAATAAAAATAAAATATCTGTCAATCATTATTTTAATATCAATCTTCGAAATATTGTAATATTTGATTTATTGACAAACTATGTCAAAATAAAATTCAAAAAATAGATTAATGTGACGCTCAGATTCTCCCTATATATATTCATATGTTCTATTACTTATTTTTATATTTTGATAGTAAATCTTCGCACAATTCACTATTCGAAAAGTTTATCGGAATTTTGTTTGTAAGCAAGTTTTTTTCGAAATATTAGATTATATAATATAAGATATTTTTCTTCCCTCTTTACGGATAAGGAAAGACTTGACTTGCGGCTAACAATTAACAAAGACGCGTGTAATTATTCGTTCTGTGCGGCTTAACACGCATCTCGACGATTCGAGTATTCACAGCGGATACATGGAACACGCATTATTCACGCTTTCGTAGACGATTTGTCTGAGCGAATTTATCACACGAGGACACTGCTGAGCTATATTTTCGATGCGGTCGATGCATTGTGCAACGTTAAATCTTTATAACAAAGAAACAGAAAAAGAAAAGAAGTTCAATGTGCCGTACTTTCCAAATCCAACGAAGCTGAAACATGGACTATTCTTGATCGTCATTGAAATGCTCGACTCATTGCGTGATAACGATAACCTATTGATAATTTTTTTGCGACCATAATTTGTTATTTTCGTCTCGATATCACCACTAAATAATCTCAATTAATTAATCGTGCTGTACTTGAAATTTATAATGCTGAGGAATTGTACAATTATGTACTTTAAACTTTTAAACGAAAGAATTTTATAAGAAAAAAAAGACAAGCATTTTTTTAATTATTTAAAATATATAAAATGTTATAGAAAGTAGAAGACATAAACATACAAGGTACGAAAGCATACTCAAACAACGAAATACATCTTACTCGATCGCGATAGATGTTTTGCAATTAAGATTTAGATCGGGACAAATGTGGGAAATGTCCGCGTAATTTACCGCACAGCTACTTGTTACAAGAGAAACCGAGTGATTTATAAATGTCATTCGCCACGAATCAATGTATAAGCAAGTACGAGCATGAATACATCGTAAATCGTAAAACCGCGAGATGGACTCAAAGCACGCGTAGTAACATAAAGCGGTCTCCAACGTGATTAATTCCTTTAAATCGTAAATGGGAAACATGCATAAATACATATAGCAAATCGGTGAATGTGAAATATGCAAGGACAGTAGATTCGAAATCCGTAGAAAGCAGTTTTATAAAGCCGATAATATTCTTATTCTCTAATGTATTAATATCTAATGTATTAAATTAATATTAATATATTAATATCTAGTATATTAAATTAATACTTCATTACTACTCCAACTATTCTTATTTAATCATATCTGTAATCTATAAATTTTAATTTTAATTTTAAATTGGTAAAATGTTTTCGAGATTCTTTTTCGTTATTTTATTTATTTCAATTCAAAAATATTTATCTATTTCTTAATGGATTTTCGTGTGCATAATTAGAAATTAATTAATCGTTGAGTTGCGTTGGTATGAATTTTGCGATTCAACAATAAATTCGTGTGATTTCCATAATTTCTCGCATCCGCTTATGTGCACTGATGCACTGTGCACTTTACGTAATTATCATCGTATATCAATAATTGCATTGCATGAAAGAGATAGAGTATACAGGATCTAAAGTAACACAGATCTTTGAATATATACTTTCGCTCGTCATGACTGCTTTTAAATTGTCTCATTAAATAAAATTGATGAGGTGCTCTCCGTCATTATCATTATACTTCATTATTATTGAAACTGGAAATTTTCATCATTATTCGACTATACTATATTTAATGAATAGAGATTTAATAATTCAAAGAATGCGAAAAATACAGAAATTCGTTTATAATCATATTCATTTTTCATTCACCATCAATTAAACATAATGTTTTATTATTTGTAATTTGTCAAAATATATTGTAAATAAAAAATAATATAAAATAATATAAATATAAAATATAATATAATAATATAAAATATAAAATTATACAACTATATAAAATATATAACTAATAACTATATTTTATATTAAAATATAAAATACATTATTATTTGCGTTACCCGTTCAAAAGTTTTCGTAAGACGGAAATTGATTTTATCACATTACAAAATGAAACTTTTGTTCTAATTACATTTCGCTCCTATTTAACATATTAAGCGTTCAGTGTAGTTAAGTCTTCCTCATTATCTAATGTAGTCTTGATATCTCATTAGCCAGGTACCATTAACATTTTAAAAATCGATAGTATTTTGTATCGCTCTATATAATTTTGATCTTTCCAAGTGATATCTTTCATACGCAAAATTTGACGTTATAACGCAACGATGTAATACATATTTATTCCTGATTTTGCTTATCTTATAATGTTAGACTTCCAGTCATTGCCTAAATAGCACACCTTTAATATGTAAAGTGTAGAACTAATTTATAGAGTCATTGTTTGAATATTGCACTTCTACATAACGCGCAGATTTGACCTTTAGTTATTGTTTGAATAAGGTAATCGATCACAAGCCCGACGCTTACATTTAAATAAGAACATCGCGCATGCAGACATGATTGCTGTTACGGTCTCAAATATAAATTACGAAAGCATGTAAGGCAAATTATATTGACCATTCACCAATAAATTATGATAGTAAACGTAATAAAACTTCCGATTATAGTTATTTGAAAATATTAGACAAAATTCTCTAAACTTATCAACATGAATCAAAAGATCTCAAACATTTTAAATATCTTTATATGATTAATTAATTAAAAAATTATTTTCTTTCAAATAATTAGATATTAGATAATTCTTAACATTTGAACAGATTATTTTTTGATTCTTGATCTAAAGCTTACACGAAATTTTATTTAAAAATTTTATTCCAAAATTTTCTCTTAAATATTCAAAGAATATTCAAGAATCTTAAATAGCGCGCCATTTTTAGAAATCTTGCACAAACTAAATTACCAATTACAAAAATATTATTCGTATAATAGAGTTTTTGTCTGACTAAACAATATTATGATATTCTGTGAATATTCTCCATAATTTATCTCCAACAAAAGCATTCAAAGAACTTTTCGTCTCATGTCCTAGTGACCGATAAAGCGCGAATAATTTGCTATGATGAAACCGTATGTGTGGTTACCGTTAATTCGCTCCGACAAAGTCGAGGAAGAAGTGCGCTAAGTTGCGTCCTTAATTAACATCCATTGTATAATATTTAATTAAGTCAATCGCGTTGCCTCGCTTTCCACACATAACACCTGCGAATTCGCCACGACTTTTTCTTCCGCGACGCGTAGCGCAATAATGCGTCCTGTCGCAATTGCGCATATCGCATGTATCACGTGGTAAATCATAAATCTCGTCTCGCGCCTTGAAGGAGAGCGGAAAACGTATCGCGGCATATATCTCGGGGTCAACGACCCGCTTTTACACCTGTATTTAGCGGCCGGGCGGCGGAACATTTGCGTAACCGTTGATTCTTTCTCGCGAAACGCTTTGATTGCTTTGATCATCCATTTGGACACAAAAATAACGGTTCTTCTAATCGTCGAGCATTGCCCTTAAAAAAGTTGTTTAATTGATTTAGAAAAGATATATTTTTATTATTAGAAATAATTTCGTTCTTGGATTTTCAAAAAAATCAATCCTTTGTTTCTTACATATTTAAGATGTGTATTTTTTTTAATTCTTAAATTTTGTACGTTATTGACTGGAACATGAATCGATTTAAAAATAAGCTTTTTTTATTACATTATTTCTGAAAGAATAATAGTTACGAATTTTGATTGAAAATTTATATGAGAAATTCGATATATTCTACTACATGTTTATTTCTATTTAATATTTATACTTCTTTATGAATTATTCCTTGAACAAAGTTAAAATATTTTCTTAAAATTTTTAAATTCTTTTCCTTTAATTTTATAATATTACTTTGAAAGTCCATATTTTATTTCTACAAGAATTTGAAAGGTTCGATATGTATCTCTTCGTAAAAAAGATACTAATTCTAAGCATTTTTAATTCTAATAAATTCGTAATACCGTAATGTTGTAACGGCAAAGCGCATAACCCTTCGAAAGTGTGTAACGAAAGGTAACGAAAGGTAACGAAACTTCCAGTGATCGGAAAACTCTTCCTGATGCGGCATGTAATGATTTACGCATCGTTTGCACCGGGAAACGATACATCTGCTATGCAATAATTAATACAGGATTGTACTGACCATTTTGTGCGAAATGATCGAGCATTACGTGAATGTTACACCGTCTGGAACTTCCTCGCTCTATAAATTCAACGTACCGGTTTTTGACCGTGTCTATCACAAAAGCGATTTCTCAAAGGTGGAAGCCTCAATAATATGCACGTGTATATTAAATAATTGAGAAACTTCTTGTGCAAACTGAAGTTTCGCAAACCCATGTCTATACGTCATTTTTAAAACCGCTGCTCGTTGTTTATAAATCCGTACAACCAGACAATCTCGTGTGCTATGATCTGGCAATATTAAATAGAGATTAAAACAAATACAAAAAAATTCACAACACCAAGAGTATACAGGATATTTTTTTTCTCAGTTTTACACTATACCAATAAAATAAATTTATATTTCGAATCTAAGATTAGTAATAAATTTTATTTTGCAGTAGAGAAGTTTTTATTCTAAA